AATTGGAAGCAATTTTTATGTATTTTTCAAAATGTAAAAAATAATAAAGAATCTGACAATGATTGGTTTCGTTTGGAATCAAATAAAGAAGGTACAAGATGGTTTGGCAAATGTTGGTACATACATAATTTTTTAAAATACGAATTTGATGTTGAATTTGATGTAAGTAATTTATTTATTTGCTATGTCTATTAAATACAAATTAATTAGATTTTTTAATTTCCTGACCAAATGGAATTGTTTGATATATTTAGGTACCTGTTACATACCCTACAACAGCCCCTGAAATTGCTTTACCTGAGTTAGATGGTAAAACTGCAAAAATGTACAGAGGTGGAAAAATTTGTCTTACAGACCATTTTAAACCTTTATGGGCACGTAATGTACCAAAATTTGGAATTGCACATGCCATGGCACTTGGAGTAAGTTTTTTACTTATGAACAAGTTCTTCAATTATTACTTTTGTTGTTAAAAAAGTTAGAAAATTTATTATATTTTTAGCTTGGTCCATGGTTGGCAGTAGAAATTCCTGATCTTATAGATAAAGGTGCTATAATGCATAAAGATAAAATTGATGAACATAAGTCGTAAATATAAATAAAACTATTATAATATTAGTGAAAATATTTCTTACTTGTTAACTGACATTGATTATTTGTTAATCTGTTGTAATAGGTTAAAAAAGGATTTATATAATGAATATGATGAATTTTATATTTAATATAAATATTTACTGTTCTTCATATTTATAGCAATTACTTGTCATCGTTTATTTTAATTGCCTTTGTTTCTTTTATAATTTCATCTAATTTATGTAAGTCTTTAAGTGATATTTGTCCAGTACCCCTCTCTAAGGGCTTAGGTTGTGATGGATCTGGCTTCCAACCTAATAGATAAATTATTTGAAAGGTAGCAGGTACATAAAGAGTATTATCTTCTTTAACTTTTCCATATAATTCTTTATATATTGCAGCAGCTGCAAGAAGAGTATCTTTATTTAAACGTATTTTTCGATTTTTTATTGCATTATTCTCAGCCATTCCTGTAAAGTTACAGATTTATTAATGGTGTAACTAACATGTTATTAAGCACAATATATATAAAGCTTTTATTAAATTGTTATTGTGTAATAATTTTAAGTATTACCTTTCAAATCCCACATTAATTCGAACATGCTTGGATAACCAATAACAATTTCATCTGTATCAATTGTTAACATTGTAAATTTAGCTCTTGTTAACAAGCTTCCAATGTCTCTAATTTCTGCAAATGGTGAAATATGTGCTGAAATTCCACCATCCCTTTCTAATTCTGCTAGTTGTAAGGAACCTCTAAAATACCAAGATGATTGTATACTTGTACATTCAACATAAAGTTATCATTTGAATTACCTTAATTCGTATAATGTTCCTGCACCAAATATAGCTGCTATAAAGGCCCCATCGTTTTTTAAACTTTCATTAATATTCCTAAAACATCCTGGTAAATCATTTACCCAGTGAAGACTCAGTGAACTTATTACTAAATCTAAACTATCTGGTTCAACTGAAAAGTCTTCTTCATCCATATTTATCCGTGATACTTTAATCCCTTCAGTAACTTCTGCTTGATGTAGAAATGTTGGGGACATGTCGGTTAAAATTAATTCTTCAATATTTTCTGGTAAAATGTGCTTTGACACATGACCACGACCACATCCTAAATCAAGCACTTTTTTAAAATTTCTCTTTATATCAAATACCCTATCTGCAAGTCTGTAGCCTACTTCATCTTTAATATAATCGTACAGTTTTACATCGGGTGCTTGTGCGGCCCGTTCCCTTTGAAGCAGTTTTGTATTTCTATTAAAAACATACATTACACTGCCTGCTGGCAAAGCAAAATTTATCGCACTATTATTTACGTTGCGAATACATCGAATACGGAATGAAAATAGGTGTAAATAACGTTCAAGTAAAATATACATTTTTTGTCGTTGAAAGTTTAATATTTTTGTAGGTATCTTCCTTTAAATAATTACGTAATGTCAATATTAAAAATGGTATCTATATAATATACACTTTTACAATATTTTATAAGTATACATTTTTCATTAAACTTTTGTTGCTACCAATGATTTCGATACGTGTTGTGCAAACCTTGTACCACCTAACCTATTTTAATATAGATTTACTAAATTGAAAACAATCATAATTTTAAATTAAAATAATTACAACTTATGAGTTTTACAAAATATATTATAAGAACTGTTTAGATTTAACTTACATTGTGTATTAAATAATCTAAATACAATTTTATACATTACATTAATAAGACAGAAAAAAAATAGTGTTTAATACGTTTAAATTTTTTTGCATTGCATAATTATTTTATTTCAAAATTTAGAAATACTAAAGAGTTATAAAACTGGTTTGTAAGTAAAATCCATTTTGTCCTTATGGTAACACTTTATTATTATATTATTTTCATAATTAAATAGTTATTACAATTGAATTTTATAATATATAGTTTTTAATTTGCAATAAAACATATTTGATAAAGAACAAATTTTATATGAAACTGTTCTCCTCTTCTAAGAGGTAAACACCATTTACTATAATAAACGATAGTGTCATTGTATTCATTTAACATTATATGATGTATGCTTCTCTGTTGTTATTTATGCAAATTCATACATTGTCTACATTTGAATAGATAAATCTCTGATATTTAATGTGCTATATTATTTGACATATGCACAAAAACAAGATAGTTTTAAATTCAATATGAATATAATATTCTATGATAATCTAAGGGTAGAATTTTATAACAAAATGTTTAATGCCATAGTTATTATCACACATGTCTTTGATAGCAATACAGTACAATACAATAACATTTAGAAGTAGTACATAACATTTCTCCAAAACCAAGGTACACTACATAAGATAAAAGTTGGTAGTAAATGCAACATTGTTTCATTCTTAAAAACATACATGTTAAAATGTTAGAATATTTATT